AATATCAGAAATTTTACTCAATCAAAATATCAGAAGAATAGATGAAGCAGCATTTTTTAACCGTGATGATTTACATACAATAGATATCCCAAATTCGGTTACTTCTTTGGGAGATTTTTGTTTTGCATATTGTCGAAGACTTGGTCAAGTTGTGATTGGAGAAGGAGTTGATGTCATTCCATATGGCTGTTTTCAAAGATGCAAATTTTTGATGAAATCAAGAATTTTTATTAAAGGAAATAACGTGAAATATATGAGAAAATGCTTCGATGGTATACGACCAAATTTGACTCCAAATGAAAGATTGAGATATCAACCTTTATTCAATTCAAGAAAAGAATTGGATTGGTAATTCGTTTCACGTATATTATTGTTTTTTGTCAATCAAAATTAATATTGTCGTTTTTTAAATTACCAATTAGAATGATTGGTTATTTAATAATGACAACACAAACAAATTATTTATTATCATACAAACTAATTACTTAACACTTGTTTTTATTAATCGATAATTATGATAATAAAACAAGTCTTTTTATTTTTTTTAAATAAACAACAATCATTATTACAATCGTATTAGAAACTTTTTATAGTTTTAAGAACATTTGTTTTTATTAAAAATGTTCGTGTAGTTATAAAATATTCATTATTTATCATTTAAAAAGTTCCTAATATTTTCATTATTAAAATTATACATTTATATATATATACAAATACCCAAAAAATAATCTGGCACAGAAAAAACGACCGGCAAACCATAAATTTATAGTAAATTATTGTTTTTTGTTTTTGTCCTGTTTTTTAAAATTTCACATTGAAAAAACTATTTAATAGTTTTTAGAAACCATTTTATAGTTTGCCGGTCGTTATTTCTGTGCCGGTCGGTTTTCAGGTATCTGTATGTATTAAGAAGGTGGCTCACATTTTATTTAATACATTTGTTGTAAGTATATATATTTTTAAATATAACAATAACATATATGATACTGATAAACCTCGACACTTTCCAAATTGAACATTTTGAATTTTGTTATAAATAGTTATTATAGTTAATAATTTGTAATTTACAACCATTTACAACAAAAAACAAATTTGTGTTTAGAAACAGTTAATTAAATTATGTTTAATTATAAAAAATCCTTAAATTTTTGAAACTAAATAAACATTCTAATCAAACTATTGTTCAATCGGTTGTAGAAATTGAATTATTTTTGTTGATGAACAAATTATGTAAACTGAAGTTATAAACTATCAGTATAATTTGTTTATATAGAGTATTGGCGTGTATGTTATTATTTAAAGTCTATATAGGTTTTATTATGTGTTTAAAAACCGAAAACGCCGATAATTTAAAGTTTAATTAAATTTATTTTAAATGTTAAATAAACCAACTTTTATTATCTCGCATTTTTCCAAAAAAAACTTCAAACAATAAGAACTTTGAAATTGTCAAGGTTTGAAAAAAATCGAGGTTTGATAGTATTTGATTAAAACAAGTCATATAGTTATAATAAAATAAAACGAATAACATTGATATTTAATCTTCAATTATATATTTCTTTAAATCAGATTGTTTAAGATTTGCATATTCCAATCTTTCGATTTCATCCCATTCTTCTTTACTTAAATCATCATTGTCCTCGTCATGATATTCCAATGGGTTAAATCGTTTTTTTATTAATTCGTTTTGTTTTTGTGTGTAATTTACATTTAACATTTTGATGCCATGAAATGGTCGAGTAACTTTTCTTCCCATTTCATCCTCAAATTTCCAATGATTTTCTTTGGTTGCTTTGTTAATTCTCTTCATTTTTGGAGAAACACTTTTATTCTCTCTATTTTGTTTTTGTCCAATTTGGTCAAAAGAGAAGTAACTTAACATGTTAAAGCTTTGTACATAAACAACGATATCATCTTTATCCAAATCAACACGTTTTTCTCCAATACAACATACGCTGTTATTCTCTCTTTTAAATTCACATTTTGTGAAAAACAAAAAGTCGCATGTTTTTGTCGAGAAGTTGTTAAATTTGATGATGTTCGTTTTGAAAAAATCCAACAACTCTTTGTCTTCAGTAATTCTTTTTAATTCATCATTTTTAAGAACAACACACGTCTCCGTTCGGCTTTCGTTAATAACAATTTTTTCAGTGTAAAAAGATTTTTGTAGTTTCGTTTCATTTGGCATGAAAATTTGTGTTTTGCACTTGAAATTTTCAATAAATTTAAAATTAAAATTGTGAATTTTTGTATAACTTCCAAAGAGAGAAAATTGATCATTATATCCAAAGACTTCGACATCTCCATTCGAGCAAAACGCGCCATTTAAAAGAAGGTTTTCCCCAAGAATAAGCTGTTTGCAACATCCAACATCTTTGATATAACATCGTGTTGGCATTTGTTCAATAATTAGTCGAAATTTCTTAATATCAGACAAGTCAAGTTCTTTAAAAGGGCAACAAATATCAAAATACTCCAAATTATTCATTTCTTTACCAAATACGTAAAAGTACTTTTGTGATTTGAGTTTCAACATTTTCATGTTCTTCATAACAATTCTCTGTGTTTTTTGGATGACTCGTTTTAAGTTACTAAATGCGATGTTACAGTCAAATTCACATTTTTGAAATGAAAATGGAAACATAAAACTTTCAACACAAACATTTTGATTTGGTGCGATAATTGTAATGTCAGACAAAGTGTTTGGTATTCTCACAAATAATTGTTTGGTGTTTTTAACAGACAATTTCAGTGAAACGATGAATAAAGAAGAGAAGTCCATTTCTACACTTTCATAAGTATCAAATGAAACTTTTAAATATCGTATCAAGTTTTTGTCCAAACTTTCGACCATTTCAGTAACAATATATTTATTTCCTCTAAGATAATTAATTTCAAATTTATCAAAATCTTTTTTAATATCACAATTTATTGCTTTATTCGAGAATTTGTGATAATACAAATTAACTTTGGTGACCATTTCAACTGTTTTCTTATTAGAAACGCACAAATTGATTGTCAAATTTTGATTCATTTTCATGACACATTCAAGTGCATTTAAAATAAAACCACTTTGTAAATATTTGTCTTGTGGGTCATTAGAATACAAGACAAGCAGCTTCAAAAATTTCAGTGATTTAAAAATTGATATTTTAAAAACACTGAGATCTTCCGCATTTTCAATTATCAATTTTTGTAAATAAATAAAATCTTCCAAATACCAACATGGGCATTCACTGGCTGAAAACCGCAAGGAAATCACTTTTTGTGCATAATTCCGAGTGATTTTTGAGATGTCGCATGTTTTCGAAGACGAGTCAATCCAATTGATTTGTGACAACTGACTCTCCGATAATTCACTCTGCGCATCTAAAACGGTTATATAAAGTGTGTTTATATTTGGAAGAGAATTCAACAGGAATGGCAAATACGACACTACTTTGTATGGATTGATACGAAGCATTTTAAGAGCTTCTTCAACATTTTTGCTTACTTTTCTAAAAACCAAGAAATTTGTTGTGCCTTTGATATAAAGCGAAATGATCGATAAAAAGAATGGCTCCAATTTGGTTGCCATTGATTTTAATTTTCTATGTATTTTTGTGTTCTTTTTTCTTTTTATCAAGAAGTTTGAAGTTTAAATTCACCTCATTTTTTCGGTGTTATTTTTTTGATCAATAAAAAATAAAAAATTGCATTTATTTTTGATTAAAAAATATTAAATAAAATAGACCATGCTTTTTGAAATAATCCATTCACCACAATGTATTTTTTTATAAAATAATATACCACAAATAACTGTGGTCAATATTTACAAAAGATGTATAAAAAATTCAAGCTTTAAAAAAGCATTATATTGTTATACCAATTTTTAATTTAACTTTCCACTTTTAAAAGTATGAAAAAATTATATAATTGTTAATGATAAAATAATAATTTTCGAAACCACTTTATAATAATAAATTTTTGAAACCCCTTTAAAATAAATTTTACAAACTGATTTGCTATGTTGTGATGTTCCATTAAATTAAATGCCAACTTTTTAATCATTTTGGAACTATAATATTAATTACATTAGTTAAGATTGTTATTTAAATATACTTTGGCCTTAATTATACAAATATGAATTAATTATTATTTATTTAAATAACAACTCATTGAGTTGTAGATATTGATTGGATTAAGTCTTTATTTTATGTATAACAAAAACATTTTTTATAAACAATTAATAAAGTTTTTTTACAACAAAAAGAAAATAGTGTAATTATTTTTATGTAAATAATATCAATTCATAATAAATAAATGTAATTTAATCAAGAAAACTTCTTAATAAATTATAATTAATATAATAACTTAGTAATTATTATAATATATTATAAATCAACTATTTTATAAGTTATTTATTAATTTAATTTTAGTTATAATAATTTTAAGTTAATTACATAATCTATGACTTTGTAAAATAAACTACACTTTTTCTTTACAAAAATAACAACTTGTTATTTTTGTGTTCAATTTGTTTTAATTTGATTTATATAAAAAATTAAAAATGTAAAATTTAATAACTACATAGCTAGTATACTTTAATACACAAACATAACGTTATCTCTGTTTTATCAAATTTAATGAAAGATTATAACCTTTAATATTAATGAAAAGTTATTAATAATCTAAATTAACAAGTGATATTTTATGATGTTATTTGGATAGAATAATATAATAAAAAAATATTTATTAGGTTCCAAAAAAATATAAGTTGAATAATAAGAACTACAAATTAATCTAATTATGTTTAATTGTAAAACTACTGACCACACACTTTCTATGATTAAATCATCATTTGCTTATTTGGCTATTATTAAAAGATAGAGTGATTGCAATTGTTAGAATTATTTAAAGTTGATTTGATTATTAATATATCACAACAATTACTTTACATTTCAAATTTTTTAG